GGGGAGAGGGAATGGACAGAGATAACACCTTACCTAGAATGGATTGTTGAGGTTCCATATTACCTTAGACGGAGCCTTCTATTGACAAGAACAACACAGCAAAGACAGAGATGTGGACACCCCAATTTACCCTGTTCTTGGACAAGAATGGACTCATGTGTTTGGCGAAGTGACGGTTTTAGACATGCAAACTCTGCCTAAGAATTTGTGGGCACAAGCGCAACTTGCAACTTGAAACTAACAAAGATGCTTCAGCAGGACTGGAGTGGAGCACATGGAACGGATATATATCGATGTTAGTACCATCCTAAGTGCAAAATTAGACTACTCCAGTCACCAGGAAGCTACTACGATTCATAAAATAAACCAATTCCCTTTCCTGAGCCTCATCATCCACTTTTCGCAGATGTGATCACCCTTCCCAAAAAAAGAATGCTTTTTATTGCAGCCTTAAACCTTCTTTTTGGTTTTAAGCTGTGTGTTCAAAGAACAACATCATGTTGATCCCAAAGCTATTACTTTTGAAACAAGCTTTGGTCTAATCTTGCTACACTTTGGAAAATATGACAATGGAGAAGCATGAGTAGGAATTCAACCTCATGGCGATAATAATCTTTAATATTAAGCGCAACTAGGATCAGTGCTGCTTTAACATAAGTAGGACCTGAATTAAGGTGCACAACAATAGATATTTTAATCTAAGACTCAGCAAAAACATCTATTGTCCATTGTAAGGTAACCAAATACTTCAAATTACAAATGATTCCATCAGCAGGTTAGCAAAGACAATTCAAGTCAAGTTCATAGCATCACTCACTTAGCAAAAGGAAATTCCTGTTTTTATTCATATATACGGGGACAGCATTGTTACTTCCACCTTAATATGAGCATATACCACCAACAGGTGAACAAGTTCATAAAAAGATCATCAAGGTAAAAGAAATAACCCATTACATAGAATGGATGCTGAGGTCCCACATTACCCTAGAGGAGCACTTGATTGACAAGGACAACACAGAGAAGCGGACTCCCACATTTGCCCCTGTTCAAGAGCAACTAGTAATTGTTGATAAGACACTAAAAGCCCCGACTATAAAGGAATCTACTCTGTTCCCATCGACAAAAGAGAGACGAAGAATCTAAGCATCACACCACTGCATTGACAAACATCATTCTTCATTGACATCACAGTAACTTTCAACATGAACCTTTAACGGAGGCAACACACTTCCATAGAAAAGGAGTAGTTCACAAAAGACATGAATATAGAACTTATCCTAGCAGTTCCATTTTCTAATGAACTTACAGTGTTGTCAAAGGCGCGATTAAATCCTGAAGTGGGGCGTAAAACATGTTGAGGGCTTCACCTTGCTTAAAGAGCACTTTAGTATCGTCATCAAGGCTTTAAAGCATACTTCCTTGCCAATGACAGTAATCGAGAAGAGGCGACACTAAACAATTAATAGTTTAATTTATTGTATTTTTTTCAATTTCTTTGTCCATATATTTGTTATTGATATTTTATACATCAATACCACACAAGAGAGAGGTGATTTGTGTGGTGTCCAATTTTTTCGTGCACAGAATATAGAAGGACATGGTTATTTTATGTGTTCCTTATACTATTGTTGCGTAATAATAAATGTAGAAAGTAAATAACACAAGAATTTTATGTGGAAAAATACCAGACTCAAAAGGTGAAAAAACTACGACCTACTACCCAGTAGGATTTTCTCCAAACACTTCACAAAATCACTGAGCCAAAACACCGTTTACAAAACTCTTGTAAACCTAAGGATTAACTCTAACCCTTTGTGGCAACCAACCCCAAGTAGTTGCGACAATTTCAAGTTAACTTTAACTTGATTACAACACTCAGAGTACCTAGTACAAATGCTTCTAGATAAAGCAGAAAAGTTACAACTCAATAGTCCTACTATAATTGAACTAGAATAAAAGACATACAAATGGAGCTGGTTCTTCTATCTGGTTCATGTAGCTTTATGTTCGCACACTTGAATCACATAAGAATTGCTTGCGAAATGCCTTGCTATTTTGCTCTCAACTCTTGCTTAACTTCTGCGTTTGTGCGTTGCCTGTAGAAGAGAACTTCCTGAAATATATAGAGCTAGTAGAATAGGAAATAACTAGAGTTCTAATGCTATACTCTTCCTTGGTGGAAGAGTTCTAGTTATCTTCAACTTCTAACTCCTTCCTTATCTTGGATAGAGTTCTCTTCCCTTAAGGAGTCCTGCTCCTTGTCAAATATGCAACATTTTCGTTCAGGAGACATTCAGTATAACCATTTATTCTTATCTACATGCATGCCTTGTGCTCGAATCTGTCTGTGTCCGTGTACACTGTGTATGGACCTGGTTCATGCTTGAGCTCCTTTGTCAATCATCAAAACAAACTTCACTTAAGCCAACCGTTATTCGTGCTTATATACATATATGTATTTTTTTTTCATTTGCCCCTTTCTTTAGTAAAGGTCACGCTTTATTTATGCTTAACGCCCCAATGGATCTTAGAGCTTGTGTTTTTTGTCTTTGATAATACTGCGTCCTAGTGCTTCATTGTAGGAGTACTACATATCTGTATTTCCAAAAAGGTTATAAAAAATATCTGTAGTTCCAAATACTCCACTCTAAGCTTCAAATTTTAGATAAGGTCTTTAGTTGTCAAATTTGAAGAGGTATTCCTGATCTCATTAGTAGGTTAGCAAAGAGAAAATATTGCTGCTGGAGAGTTCAAGCCTATGAAATATCATGTTCCTAGCACATTTATTTTACTGGCAAAAGGAAATTTCAGTTTTATAGGCACAAGGTGGTAACATTATGATTTCACTTTGTAAATATAAGCATATACCACTAACAGTTAAACAAGTTCTTAGAAAGAATCATCAAACAAAAGAAATTTAAAAAACAAAAATGGAGATAACACCTTACCTAGAATGGATGTTGAGATTCCATGTTACCTCAGAGGAGCACTCAATTGACAAGAAGAACAAAGCAAAGACAGAGATATGTGGACACCCCCATTTATCCCTGTTCATGGACTACTCTTATGAGGCTTTTAATTGCTGACAAGATATTAAAAGTCCAGCCTATGCTGGAATATATTACAAATTACCTTAAGTGGTGTTAGAGAATAGGATACTCTGACTAAAAATCTAGAACTCTTACCCTTCTAATGATTGAAGGATTAATATTATTCAAATCATAAGCCACCAAACTCGATAAGAGTGGAAAAGGTACAGTATTGTTACAAGTGTCTACTACATCAATACCTATAAGAAACAAAAAGCTTAATAAAGATTAACGATCATAATTCTATTTCTGTTTTGGGAAATACATGTTAGTCATTTGTATATCCTTTTACTTACTTTTTAATTTTTTTGTGGACATACATCAAATCAATGGCAACCTGTATCAGGAACTATGTGTGGTTGGACGTTTATTTTTCTACACTGACAATAGCTTTAGAAGCCAGCTGTGAATAGCAGGGAATTTTTCTTGATAATTATTACCCACCAACACAGAATTCAGTTTGTGTAAATGGAAACATATAAAAAGAGAAATTCCAATTTAGACTCAAAGATGAGATTGTAAGTTTAGGCGGATAAAACACAACATGGAAACTGTGCCTAAGGTTTTTGTGGTAACCTGTAACTGAAAGATACTTCAATAGAGTGGGAGTAAAGCACACGGGAAACTTGAATGAAGCAATCCATATGAGCTTTTAATTGCTGAGTGAGACACTAAAAGCCCCGACTTTACTGCAATCTATTGTTCCAATGGAAACTTCAACATATGTCAACTATGTGTATAGTTCCATGCTTCCAAAGAACAAGCTAGGAATGGTAAACCAAGAAAAGAACACAAGCTAGTTAATAACCTCAAGTGGTATTAGACAATACGATACTTTATAGAAAGACCAAAACCAGATGCCTGTCTTTAGAATGATTCCAAGATAGTAATGAAATTATAAGCCACCAAACTTGATAAGAGTGCACAAGGTTCTATATTGTCACAAGTTTCTAAATATCCTTCTACGTCGATATTTATCAAAAGTAAATTAAATAAAGATTGATGATTTCATAGTGATAATATAAATCCTTTGAAGCTTGGAATATGACATGCTTGAGAACCATCAACAGCGCAGAGCATGTCTTCTATTTTATACATACAAAAGAAAGTGTTAGACTGAAGATTTTATCAACAATGGCAGAAAGAGAGGAAGAAAACCCTAGATAGGGTGATGAGAGAGAAAGGAGAAAACGAGTCTAGACCGACTCTCTTTATTTCCCTTCTGTATATTTTCATTAAATCTGAATATATATATTTACACCAAATAAAAGAATGGTAAGAAGAAAAATAAAATTACAACCGCGTCGGGTTTTCCTGGTCTACTGGGCTGGTCCCTTTCCTTTAGGTGATCCCATATCTGGGTTAACACCAACCCTCCCCCTCCCCCCTCAAGCTAGAGGGTGAAAACACACCAAGCTTGCCAAGAATGTTATGATGAAGTTGTCCACATAGAGCCTTAGTCATAATATCAGCTAATTGATTGGCACTGGAAACAAAATGCAAAGAAATAAGTCCAGAATTCAAGCATGCACAAACATAATGACAATCGATCTTAATGTGCTTTGTACGCTCATGGGAAACTGGATTTTTGGCAATGTGAAGAGCAGCCTGGCTATCACAATGGACTGGAACAGGAGCATAAATAGTGAGACCAAGATCCCCAAGTAGTCTGACCAGCCATGAGCTTTCAGCAGCTACTTTCCTTAGAGCCTTTTATTCAGCCCCAGCTGAAGACAAGGAGATAGTGGGATGTTTCTTACTTTTCCATGAAACTGGACTACCACCAAGTGTCACATAATATCCAGTAACAGATTTGCGAGAAATAGCACAAGAAGCCCAATCCGAATCAGAATAGGCCACAAGAGACAAGTCATAAGAGTTGGAAAGAAGCACACCCTAAGCAGGATCACCTAACAAATATCTAAGAACATGCAGCCCAGCCATCATGTGAGGAACATAAGATTTCTGAAGAAACTGACTCAAGTGCTGGACAGCAAAGAATATATCTGGTCTAGTGTGTTGTAAGAAATTGAGTTTGCCAATAACCCTTCTGTACAGACTAGGATCAGGGAGGAGATCACCCATGTCTAGGGTCAGCTTAACAGAAGTGTCCAAAGGAGTCACAACAGAGGAGAAATGTTGGCAGTTGAATTTAGCAAGAAGATTATTGGTGTATTTGTCCTGACTCATGACATAACTCTGAGAGGTTTTGGAGATTTCTAGCCCTAAGAAATAATGGACTGAACCCAAATCTTTGATTTTGAACTAAAAATCCAAAAATGACTTCAGGGAGTTCATTTCAGATAGGTCATTTCCAGCTAATAATATATCATCAACATAGACAGCTAATGCCACCAAAGAACCAGAAGAGGATTTGGTGAAAAGAGAGTAATCATTTAGACTGGAAATGTAGCCTCTTGGCAGTATAGCCTCAGACAATTTTGAAAACTACTGTCTGGAGGCTTGCTTGAGGCCATAGAGAGACTTCTTGAGTTTAAACACTAGAGGAGCTAAAGAAGAAACAGAGGAGACATCAAGACCAGGAGGAATTTTCATATAGACTTCCTCATGGAGATCACCATGAAGGAAGGCATTATTAACATCCAACTGGTATACAGTCCAATCTCTCTTGATGGCAAGAGTTAAGAGGCATTTGATTGTGGTGAGCTTGATAAAAGGGGAGAAGGTTTCAGTAAAATCAATTCCTTCATTCTGATTATCACCTCTAATAACTAACCTTGCCTTGTATCTCTCAATAGACCATATGCCCTCTGCTTAATCTTATAAACTCATTTGCAGGGAATAGCCGTCTTTTGTGGAGGAAGATGGACAATGTCCCAAGTCTGATTAGCCTCAAGAGCATGAAATTCTTTTAGCATGGCCTCTTGCCAAGCAGGATGAGTTACAGCCTGCTGGTAGAACTGAGGTTCATGCATGTGAGTTTCACTAGGTGAGACTTTAGAGGGTGTATAATTAGAGGAGGAGATGACATAAGTACAGATATAATCCTCAAGGTAAGAAGGTTGAGTAACAGTTCTAGTGGACTTTCTTAAAGGAGGAAGAGCAGAAATAGTTGAAATGGAAGTAGGAGAGGTAGAAATAGGAGCAATGGAGACAACATGAGATGGAGATGAAGGGAGATGATATGGAAAAAGTTCAGGAGGACTAGTAGAGGGAGTATCTATAGGAGTATGAACTTGGATATCCACAAAAGTGGTTGGTAAAATATTTAAAGGAGGAGAATTAGAGGAAGAGGAATAGGGAAAGATATGTTCATGAAATATCACATCTCTATAATGAAAAACAGAAGAGTTAGATAAGTTGAGCAGTTTGTATTCTTTCTTCCCACATGGATATCCTAAGAATATACAAGCAATAGCTCTAGATTGAAACTTATCCCTTCCTACCTTAAGGGAAGTAGCAAATGAGAGACAACCAAATGATCTTAAGTGGTCATAAGGAGGTGGATGGCCATGAAGTTTTTCAAATGGGGAAAGTTTGAGAAGTGGTGGTGAAGGCATTCTGTTGATTAGGTATGTGGAAGTTAGTAGACATTCCCCCCCAGAATTTCAGTGGTAATTTGGATTGAAACAGAAGGGCTCTTGAAACTTCTAAAAGGTGTTTGTGTTTTCTCTCTACAATACAATTTTGTTGCGGAGTGTGAGGGATAGAAGTTTGATGTAAAATTCCCTGGGAAGCAAAGAAACCGATGGCTTCAAAACTACTTCCAAGTTCAAAAGCATTATCTGATCTAAAAGTGTGTATTGGGGAATTGAAGTAAACTTTTACCATATAGGTGAAAGCTTTGAGGATGGACAGAGCATTACTCTTGGAAGAAAGAAGATGAGTCCAAGTGACTCTGGTAAAATCATCCACTAAAATGAGAAAATATCTAAAGCCATTACAAGTTTTAGTATTATAAGGGCCCCAAATGTCAATGTGAACTACTTGAAAAGATGTGGTAGAATGAATAGTACTATCATGGAAAGGTAATCTTTGTTGTCTGGCCATTGGACAAATTGAGCATATAAAAGGTTATTTAGTGGGTACTTTGTTAGAAAGAAAAGAAATAGATTGCATCTTATGAAAAGGTGGTACAGAACTAGGAGAGACCTGAACTTGCTGAAATAAAGTCAGGAGATGTTGATATTGTTCCTTTGTAAACCCATGAAGTCTTGGAGGCTTACTAATCCCAGAAGATGATTGAGGATAGGAAATATCACCTTGGACACAGGAATCAGACTTTTTATTCTTGGTAAATTTGAAATCAGTAGGAAAATCATGAAGTCTGTAACATTTTTCCACTGTATGTCCAAGTGTCTTACAGTACTTATATGATACTGTGGACACATTCTTCTTAGGTTCAAAGTTCACCTTCTGAGTGAAACTTTTATTGTTAATTTGAGTGACATAGAAAGAAGCAGAATCCCCAGAGAAATTGGAGACATTGGAAAGAGACTACTTTTGACTCTCATCCTGTTGTAGGAGGAAGTAAGCTTTTCTTATAGGAGGAAGGGGGTTCATCATCATGATGGCACTCTTAACATTAGAGTAGGACTCTTTCAACCCATTCAAGAACTGGAATAATTGATGGTCCTCTATAAACTTTGGAAGTGCTCCACAAGAGCATTCTGGACAAATATAAGAAGAGTTCAATTCATCCCATAAGCTTCTAAGTTTAGTGAAGTAGGTAGCAATATCTGATGATCCCTGAGTGGTTGTACTAATTTTCCTTTGGATTTGAAGGTACTTTGACCCATTTGACTTACCAAACCTCTCATTTATGTCTTTCCAGACTTCCCTTGCAGTCTTAAGACACATAACACTGGTGGCAATTTCTCTGGACACATAATTAGTTATCCAGGCTTTCACCATGTCATTGCACCTTTCCCAATATGAATAGTAAGGGGGATTCGGTGGTGGTTGAGGAACCCTACCATCTAAGAGTCCTAACTTGTCCTTAGCAGACAAGGAGGTAAGCATATTGCTTCTCTATAGCAGACAAGGAGGTAAGCATATTGCTTCTCCATAGAACAAAACCACAGCCATTAAAAGGCACTGATACCAGCTGACTATCAGGACTGTCAGAAGGATGCACGTACAAGGGATGGGAAGGACCTATCGTGAAAGGAGAGGTCGTATTACTAGGTGATCCTACGTTTTCCATCGTATTACCCGCACAATGAAGTTCAATCTTCAGTAAGTCGAGAGAAAGCGATTAACAAATGAAATACCACAATTTCTATACAAGTACAGTACATGCAACACCAGATCTATATGATTTTGGACAGGAAGAATATTACCAGCCTTCTTCTCAAACTCGAAGAAGAAAAGTCTTTTCTGAATGTGAAATCCTAGAAGGTCGAATCCTCATAAATTTGTGATGAAAAGCTCGGAAAACCAAACTCCTAGTCGGGTGAGAAAGTTGAAGAAAGCCCCAAATTTGATGGTCAAAATCGTCGAATAACAGTTGTCTTCGATCAACTAGAGACATAGGCGAAAATATCCAAAGCTTTGGGCGAGTGTAACATCGGACTGAAGCTCATGACGAGAGGAATCATATTTCCTGCTTTGATACCATGTTAGACTGAAGATTTTATCAACAATGACAGAAAGAGAGGAAGAAAACCCTAGATAGGGTGATGAGAGAGAAAGGAGAAAACGAGTCTAGACCGACTCTCTTTATTTCCCTTCTGTATATTTTCATTAAATCTGGATATATATATATATATTTTACACCAAATAAAAGAATGGTAAGAAAAAAAAATAAAATTACAACTGGGCCAGATTTTCCTGATCTACTGGGCTGGCCCCTTTCCTTTACATGAGCCCATATCTGGGCTTTCGCTGAGCCCATATCTGGAAAGAGATGACAAAAAATTATCATACCACCGCATTGACAAACATCAATCTTTATTGATACCTTTATTTAATGAAGGCAACATGCTTGCATAGACAAGGAGAAGTCCACAAAAGACTTGAATTTAGAAAGTAACAGTTCATCTTCTAATCAACATATTAGTGTTTCCACTATACTATACATTTGTAGTTCCAAAATCTCTGTTTACTTAAACAGTTCTTCCAGCTATGCATATTTATAATAAACTAATACAAGCAACACAAACTATTAATAGATTCAACTTTATGGGTTCTTATGGTTCTCGATGTTAGAATGACGATTTCAAGTATTAATAATCGGGCTCTAGATTTAGTGTGTACATATTTAATGAATTTCTTAACATAAATGCACAGTTTGTACAAAATCTACTGGGATCGACCAAACATATATACGGTCATCAATATCCACCCCTGCATAAGCCTATAAGCCATTTCAAGAATGCAGTCCTCCAAGCCCTTCCTACTCCCATGTTCTAACCTGATTGGTTAGATACTATGATACAGTTACAAGGTTAAGAATGTAACTTAAGAAATAGTTGTTCTTAGTTTCACAAAATTATCTAGCCAATATTCATTAATTCAGGAAGACCCCGATACCAGATTCAAACCAAACATGTACTGATCTACATTAACACATGGAAAGTGGAAATCGCATCCATGATGTGAAGTTAACAAAATCAACACTTTAACCAATTATATGTGCATCCATGCACGCTCATGTTTGGGCGTGTGTCTGTTGAACGCATTCTAAAGGTTTTTTCCTTGTCCTTTTGGCAAATGAATTCCCTTGCTCAGGCAATAAATAGGTATTCTCATGCCAAAGAAAAGTATAAAGCTAAAGAACCTCTTATAATGACATCCATTTTGATCGAGAAATTCACCAAATTTTATGGCTTTCGAAATGTGACTCTGTATGTGAGTGTGTCTGTTTGTCGCGAACGTGATAGCTGATCTGTGGGAAAAAAACTTTACCACTTTACATGTAACATAACAAAAGCACATAACAGTTGCAAGAACTATGAAGAGTTACCATTGATAACTATGTAAGTCTAGTACATCAACACGTTTATGGAGTATATGGGCATTACTATACAGGGAGGTCAATTGGTCAGACTTGATCTGCTTCTTGTCAAACGCTATTCCTTTCCTTTCTTGTCCAAATCGCTGTACGATGCTTCCTCTTCTGGCAATTCAAACTCATCAACCTCTTGAAAATGCTTTCGCCAGTAGTTGACAAAATCTTCTGGCAAGGAATCTTCAAGGACAGGTTTCTGCTCTGTGCACCTCCTCTGCAGAAACATTTTAGTTATTAGCCATCAAAATGGTAGGCTATGATATAAGCAAAAGAATGCACAGCCCGCGTTCCACAAAGCAGTTATCAGCAATATTAATAGTAATTCATTACTAGTTTTAAACACCAACCCCTCAGTTTTAGGTAACTCACTGAGCCATATTTTTGTGCATCTTGCCCTAATATTGTTGACATGGTTGGTGAAGAAAAATCAGGTCAGGGGGTCAGCGACGTAAGCTTAGGCTTGCTATTGGAACCATTTTAGAAAGAAATGCTTCAGAACGTTAACGAACCTCTATGTCATGAATGTCTCTCATATCTAATCTACATATTTTCCTATATATGAAACATATATATATTACAAGATAATTGTGCAAAGATACGGATGAAACAAACTTTAGCATATTATTTCCCAAAGCTCTGAAACTGAACCTAGAAATAGAAAATAAAAGAGGCCAGCGCCCATTACTACTGGTAGTCCATGAGATCTCAACAGCAATGAGAAGGATGTATAAAAGAAGCCAGTTACAGATACTTCTCATTAGAGATCAATACAAAAAGAGATTGTTAACAAACCTTCTTACGCTTTCCACTAGGATCCGTCCACGAACCTGAGGGTTTAATATTACCAGCTCCATTGAACTCAGTCCTATATAGAAGAAACAAGAATCAAGAGAGCATCAGCATTGAGCATTCTCCTATGTCACTTTTCACATTTATAATGTCTTTATTCCATTCAAAACATGAATGTCTCGATTTTAGATGTGCCACAGGAAAGAAATGGGGATAGGGGAAGGTGTTGCTAATGTGCATGCTGCAGAGCTATCTTGCGTATTAAGCATGTGTGGAGCCTTTAAAGTGAACACAATTGCAACTAAGACACCCAATTAATTAAAGGTTATGCTACTTCAGGTAGATAAAGAAATAAATAGTAGCTTGAGTGCACTGCCAAGACAGAAAAATTTTCAGCCAGACTCAAGCTGGGAAAGGATACACATTCATGAGGAAGCGCCACTGAAGATTTCTCAGGGTCAAAACTAGAGGTAAACTGCATGTACGGTGTCAGGAGCATGAAAGTTCAATCAACCAACAACCTATATTTGGTACAGGATATCAGCAAATGATATCACCACAACAAGCTTCAAATCTCACGTGAGTAACCTCAGAAAAAAGGAGGAAAAAAAAAAAGCTGATATAAGAAAAAGGAGGAAATAAAACCGCTTCCTCAAGATTACATACATGTAGAGGCAGACTAAATAGAAAGAGAGTGTGTGTGTGAGTGTGTGTGTGCGTGTGCGCGCGCGCGTGTGTGTGAGAGAGAGAGAGACCTATTGGTTCTTGTCTTTGGAAAAGTAGGGCAACTAAAAACTGATATGTCTTCCATCCCTTTTCCCCTTGTTTTCTTTAAAGATGTGAAACTCCGAGACAAAACACCAACTTTTTCTTCTGCTGTTTTTTCATCTGTAGGAAAGTGCTGATGAGAAATTGCCTTAGCTTTGGCCTTTAACCTCTGAGGAGATGAAGACACAAAAGGCTCATGAATAACTATTCCCTTCTGTTTCTTATTTCCTGAAACTGGAGTAGATAGAAAAGCAATTCATTTCCCCTTATCTTCCTTGGTCTCAGGAGACAAGCTACTGAAAGGCTCAGCAATTGCCTTCCCTTTATCCTTTGTGATTGAAGGAGGCAGGGAAAGGAAAGGCTCATCAATCTCTTTCCTTTTGTCTTTTTTGTTTTGATGAAGACTGGAAGTGAAGTTCGGAGCAGTAGCTTCCAAATTAGACTTCTCCGAAGTCTGCCTTCGATTATAAACTACAGCTTCATTATCCCTGCCTGCTTGAGTAACAAACAAGAGCGAACTTAGACAGGTTAGCCGCAGGCGTTAAAACAAATACAGACATTGGAAATTGAGCAAAAGCAAGCATAGTCACACAATTCCCTGCATTAGCATTTCAATATTGGGAAGCCAAACTTATTAGAGCAAATACTTTTCACACAGATGATGTATTACCTCATACCAGTTTTGTATACTCTATTCTTAGAATTTCATGATTTGTACTACCAGTTCTTGGGGAATGTATAAGATTAAGATTTTTCTTCACTTAAATTTCTTTAAAAAAAATTGTTATTGGAATTGGATAGTTGAATATTGGCTTACCTGGCGGGTTGGGTTAGGTGCCATCACTATTAGTTGGATTAAGATTTTTCTTCACTTAAATTTCTTTAAAAAAAATTGTTATTGGAATTGGATAGTTGAATATTGGCTTACCTGGCGGGTTGGGTTAGGTGCCATCACTATTAGTTGGATTAAGATTTTTCTTCACTTAAATTTCTTTAAAAAAATTGTTATTGGAATTGGATAGTTGAATATTGGCTTACCTGGCGGGTTGGGTTAGGTGCCATCACTATTAGTTGGATT